CCGTCAGCGCGGCCCATTCCATATTCATGGAAGGCGCGCCGGGCCCGGGTCGCAGCCGGGCCGCTCGGGGCACGGCGCTCAACACGTTGCCGCTCATGGCAGCCCAGCCGCGGCCTGTCAACGGCGCGCCCGGGCGGGGCCCGGAGACTCATGACTCTCGCGTTTGTTCTACACGCCTTGCGTCGCACCTGACGACCGCGCCGCGCCATGTCGCGGGACAAAAGAGGTGGGCGGCCTCCTGACTTGACCCGGGGCCCGCTTCCGAGAACGCAGCGCCTACGCGGCGCGATGCGTGGCGGGCTGGTCCCCAATATAACCCCACAACCCCCGCAAAGGGCAGGGCACGGCGCGCGGGGTCACTCGCGCGCCACGCGTTCCGAGAAGCAGCGCGAAAAAAAATTCCAGGGGCTCCTTGCGAGGTGTACCTGGCGGTGTCTGCTTACTCGCGTGCCTGCTCACCCCCGCTCACTCCCGGAGTCCCCGCCCTGGCAATAATCCGGCGTTTGCAATCGGATATCCGAAGATATCAGAGGATATCCGAGCCGTGACGCGGTGCAGCGCAAGGCCCCGTCCCCACCCCGTCACGAGTATTAGCTACCCATCATTCACCCGCCCCACGCGAGTCCATACGCACCCACGCTCCCCAGAGCCGTGAAGATGGCGGGGGAGGGCGCCGTGCTGCGCGTGGACGACGCCGTCGTGGAAGTCGTGGCCGAGGCGGCGTCCTCCCCCGCCGCCCGCCCGCCCCGGGGCGCGCCGTGCCTCTTACCCAGGCCGCCGACGGCGTTGACCAGCTGCTGATCCTGCTGGGCCTGGGCGGGCTGCGGCCACGGCCACGACCTGTGCGCGCCGACTCCCGCCCCTGGGCCAGCCCCCGGGCCCGCCCCTAGTGGAACCCCGTCCAGCTCGCCCGCCCCCGCCAGCCCGCTCCAGCCGCTGGGCCCCCAGCCGCCGCGCCGCCCCCGGTCGCCGCCCCCCTCGGGGTCCGCCTCCCACGCCTCGCCGAGCCCCAGGAGGCGGGCCGCTCCGCTGCGCCGGCCTGCAACAGACAAACACAACACAGCCTCCATTATCAGCAGCAGCACACGGTGCAGCACACGGTACAGCGCCGCGGGCCGCACGGGTCGCTGGACAACAACAAGAGCCCCGCCGCGCTAGCCGCACTCAGCGTGAGGAGGGGGCCGGGCCAGCCGCGCCAGCCGCGCCAGCCGCGCCAGCCCCGCCGGGAGCTCATCCCGGCCCCGGGAACGATCATTGCTTGACGGGTTCTTGACGAGCCCAAGGGCTCACGCTGCAGCATTACGTCACCCGAGTAGCGGGGGCGGGGTGCGCCTCGGCGGGGAGCAACGATACGCCCTGTTAAGGGCTGCCGTAACCCCGTCGGTGGGCCCGCAGGCACGCGTCCCCCGGCCAGGCCCGGCGCGCCTAGCCCGGCCGGTCCAGCCCAGCAGCAGCCGAGTAGTGTTTGTGTGTCTGCGTGGGCAGGCAGGAAGCAGGGTCCCGCTATAGCAGGGTTGGCATACTAAATTAAATTAAATTTTATTGTGTGAAAATTATTGCCCTTTTTGGGTGCTTAATTCTGAAGGGCAAAATTCCGGTGCAAAATATCTTATTGTGCAAAACTAAATTCAGTATTAAACACTGTGTCTTAATAGTGCGAAATACCAAATTATTTTGCCCTTGAAGTGTGAAACTTTATTAAATTAAATCGCACAGTCAAGGGCAAAATATGGAATTAAATTAAATTAAATAGTCTAAAAGAAGCCGATATTCGCCGATCGGTGTTTTAGACAGCTGGTGTGTTGCACACGCATACCGCATACGCTGCAGGCACTCGGCAAGATCTGGACGAGGGGCCAACCGCGGGTTTAGGTGGAAGCCCAGTGGGTCCGACACCCCCCCCCCCTCCCCCCGTGAGAAAAGGATAGCCTGAATGCACTATGGACTTCGCCTGGATCGTAGGTAGCTAAATTGCAGCTAAAATTCAGTCCGGTTCGCAACCGGGCGCGATCGCCGTGTCCAGAGGTCTGCATCGGTCGGTCCACCTGTTTAGTGTTTTCGATCTGGCCGGACGGGTA